ACACACACACACACACACACACACACACACACACACACACAAGCCTATGGTCACAAACTAGGTCCGTAACTATTACCCGCAACAACTACACAACACTATTTTTAAAGACATTTACTTCAAACCGTTTTTAAGCACCAAATTAAAGCCAAATACACCTGAAGCTTTTTACATTTCAGGACTAAGAACATGAGGAAGTATATTCTGGACCACGTGGCTTGTCCATCCCAATGCCGCCACGGTACCTATAGCATCTTCCGGCGGCAGGTCCACTGTGTCCGTGTAGAGGTACTGGAGAAAGGCACGATACACTGGGTAGGAAAACTGGTCGATTTCTATCACTTCCTTCATGTCTTCATTCCAATACGACTGGAACATGGATCGAAAGTGCTCACACCTAAAACAGAAAAGCCAAAGTCTTATTTGTTCAGCAGCAATTTAAAAAAAGTTACCTAATTAAGTTGACAAAATCAGATAAACAGATTAGAAGTATCCTTGGGCCGGGCACAGTGCCTCACACCTGTAATCCCAGAACTTTGGGAGGCCAAGCAGGCTTATCACCTGAGGTCGGGAATTTGAGACCAGCCTGACCAACATGGAGAAACCCCGTCTCTACTAAAAATACAAAATTAGCTGAGCATTGTGGTACATGCCTGTAGTCCCAGCTACACAGGAGGCTGAGGCAGGAGAATTCCTTGAACTCAGGAGGTGGAGGTTGTAGTGACCCAAGATTGCACCACTGACTCCAGCCTGGGCAACAAGAGTGAAACTCTGTCTCAAAAAAAAAGAAGTATCCTTAACTACTATATCTGGGCCTGCACACACCAGAATTACAAACCTATATTCAGCACCCAAAAAATATTCCACATGCAAGTGGTTTTTGCATATGCTTTTTACATACACTCACTTTCGTTTTTTATATATCCTATTAAATACTAACAGGTATACACAGAGCCTAGAAGTACCTAGCACTTCTACTACTGCTTCCATTTCATGGTGCTTCCATTTCATGGCTCCCAAGGTTTTTTTTGCTCCTTTGTATTTTAAAATAACATACAGAAATGCATTTTAAACAATGAAGTGAAAGAAATTCAGAAACCAGAGTTCAAAACTTTTGACTACATATTAATATCAAAATGATTCATTTGTTTTTATGTAACAGTATATTCTTAAAACTGTTTTATATGTTAACTGGATTACATCAAGCTGATTGTCTCATTATTCGACATACCAATTTTTCTTCCTTTCTGACTCATCGTCAAAACAGCTATCACTCCTGTTTTGTTTTTGTGCATTGCCTGCTCCCTTTCCTCTCTTTCCAGGCCTGCTACAAACTTACTTATAAAACACTCACGCCCACTAGGATAGTCAGATATTTCAAGAAAGCCTGAGCACCTGCTACACTGTAAAAAGCCACCTGCATGAGAAACTGATTTCTCAATATTGAATTTTCTTAAGTACAATATAGTTATATCTTTCTAAAAATCATCCTTTAAAATTCTTTTAAAGTGAGATACGGTAAAAAAAGAGAGAAAGTATTTTGAAAATCCACTCAGAGTCGAGGCACAGGGGCTCATGCCTGTAATCCCAGTCCTTTGGGAGGCTGAGGCAGGTGAGTCTCAATCACCTGAGGTCAGGAGTTCACTGGCCAACACAGTGAAACTTTGTCTCTACTAAAAATACAAAAATTAGCCAGGCGTCCTAGTGAATGACTGTAATCCCAGCTACTTGGGAGGTTGAGGCTGGAGCATTGTTTGAACCCAGGAGGTGGAGGTTGCAGTGAGCTGAGATCACACCACTACACTCCAGCCTGGGCGACAAAGTGAGATTGCATCAAAAAAAAAAAAAAAAAAAAAAATCAAAAAAAAAAATCTATTCAGAATACTAAAAGAATGGCTTCACTTACAAAAGAAATTACTCTACCTGAGAAGCAAAAAAGAAATAGTTATCTAAGCAAAGAATCATGGATTTCATTCTCAGAAAACTGTACATGAAAGGAATAGACTGGCTGACAAAGGTGCAAAGACTGAAACAGTTCCAGTTCATTTTTTCAAGTAATACTGTGGTTCAGATATTCACTTCCTTAGGTAAAGAATGACACTGGACTTTTTGGTTCCTTTCAAATGTATTTCTTTGCCAATAGATTTTTAACTAAATTTCCAAAAAGACTTGTTAATGGTCTCGTGTGCCTTTTTCTGCAATGGCAACCTTTGTGAGCAATAGTCCAGTTACTAATAAATGCATAGTTCCCTCATTTATACAAGGAGCTCCTGCCATTTACTATCTCTAAAAAACTTTTTCTTTCATTTTTGAGGTAAGATCTCGCTCTGTCACCTGGGATGATCACAGCTCACCACAGCCTTGATCTACTGGGCTCCGGCAATCCTTCCACCTCAGCCTCTGGAGTAGCTGGAACTACAAGAATGCACCACCACACCTGGCTTTTTTATTATTTTTAGAAACAGCATCTTGCTATATTGCCTAGGCTGGTCTCAGACTCCTGGGATCATGTGATACTCCCGCCTTGGCCTCCCAAAGTCCTTGGATTACAGGCATGAGCCACCACGCCCATTAGCCCAGCCTAGAACTTTCTTTAATTGGTAATTACATGTCCCTTAGAAACAGAAGCCCAGTATTCCTATGAGAACTTTCTGCTTGAATCTTTAATTAAAAGAGGTCATATACACTTTTCAATAACAACCCTTTGTATTTTTTTTTAATAGCATAAACAAATTTTCTCATGGAAATGAGTATTCACAGATCCTTAGTTTAAAAAACAATATAGGCCTGTGCGGTGGCTCACGCCTGTACTCCCAGCACTTTGGGAGGCTGGGGGGATCACCTGAGGTCAGGTGTTCAAGACCAACCTGATCAACATGGAGAAACCACGTCTCTACTAAAAATACAAAATTAGCTGGGTCTGTGGTGGTGTGTATCTGTAATCCCAGCAACTCATGAGGCTGAGGCAGAATTGCTTGAACCCAGGACGTGGAGGTTGCAGTGAGCCAAGATCACGCCATTGTACTCCAGCCTGAGCAACAAGAGCAAAATTCCATCTCAATAATAATAATAATAATTACATACACATATAAAGAGAGAGAGAGAGAAATACTTAAGCTCCTACAGGACGCTTTTTCTAAAACGCTCCATGAGTGTACACACACAACTCTTTGACATGAAATGGACTGATACTATCTGCAAAAATATTAAGTAGTGACATTTCTCTCTACTACAAAGGCTACTTTTTTTTTTTTTATCAGCACCCATTTTGTGGAATAACAAAGAAATAGAAGTGGCAAAAAGAAAGTACAGTTATTGAAGTCTCTTAGCTCATGCAAAAATACCTGATTTTCAAAACAGCTTTATGGACGTGAATATATTTTCCATCAATTCGAAACTTCAGATCAGCAGTTTCTGGACTATCAAATTCTTTCTTCAGTGACTCTGCAACTGTTAAAAAATCTTCATGTTCTGAAGGCAACAAACACATATTAATATGGAAAGTTCAAGGAACAGATTGAAGATCCGAAAGACTTCAAAAAGATCATCATAACCGTACTGGATAATTCCACTTTTTTTTTTTTCTTTTCAAGAGTTCATACCTAATTTGACAGATCAATTCTACAGCATTAAAGTATCCTGAATCTATAAACTACAAAAGAAAACCACCAAAAAATGGTATTTAGAAAGACCAAATGCCATCTTATATGGTTAAACATTAGAAATATGTATTTTTTAAAGGAAAAATTATAGGTAGCTCACGATATAACCCCCTCTCAAAATGAGTGGTTCTTTTCTAAGACTAAAAATTTATCAGTTTTCCTTGACCGAAACACTAAGAATATCTTTTTTCTGCTCTGAGGTAGTTTTGAGGAGTCAGCACATCCAACTCAAGGAGATGCAAGAAACAAACTTACCACTTAAAAGGTAATGCTAAGCAGTCATGTTCTCAAGCAGAGAAACTCTTTCCTAAGTATCTGGTATCTAAGCATCTCTGTTAACCCTAAAAATCACTATATGCATAATCCTTACTCGGTATCTAAACAGAACAAATTCACTTAGAAACAACACCTACATGAAGGAAACAATTTTACAAGAACACATGATCACCTTACCTGATAAGAATTGCTGTTATGGTTATATGTACATAGAAATGTGTTACTATAAGAAAATGCAAAGACACTGTACACATTCCTGCAACACTTTCTTGTGCTTTATATGTATGAAGGAAGAAAAGAAGTAGAAAAAGCCTAATGGGGAAATGTTTTTAAATTCCAGAGATCCTCACCAGGCATTGAATCAAACTGCTATGGATACACGAAGCAGGTTTCAACTGCCCACAGCTGAGTTAAAAATTAGTGTCTTAATCAAAGAGCTCAGCTTCCAAGCCTGGGATGAACCTGTGTCCCTTGGTAGTCTGTTGTTACCAGAGCAACTCCCAGGGGAGGGACAACAGCTAAAACCTAGGCTGAAACTTAACAAATGAGTTTATCCACAAGCTTTATCATCACAATCTCCCAGGGAAATATCTTTTGCCTAAGCCCTGTGACCTTAACTTACAGCCCTCCCTCCACCCCATGCAATGCAGAACTCTCCTGGCTACGCAGAAAAGGTGGAAAACCTCTCACAGTTCAGGCTTTCTCTGACCTTGTAACCTGGATCACTGGTGAGTAAAAGAAAAGAAATGACTAAGATGGGTCAAGAGTCCAGGGCTCTAGAGTGTTACCCAACCCATCCAAAAAAACCACTACTCAACAGTGTCTCAACTTCTGCATCCAGTCTTAGGCTGAAATGACCCCTTCTCCTCTTTGCTCCTGGCAACAAGTATAGTACGTCCTTTCAGAGAAGAAATCCTTCTCAGAGGGGTGAATTCACCATCTGACTTTCTAACACTCAGCTGAGATCACAAAGTGAGAGGGAAAAAACTCTTGATTTTTAGCAGTTGGAAGAGAAAGAAGTTATCTAGGACAGCAGTCCCCAGCCTTTGTGGTACCAAGGGCCGGTTTTGTGGAAGACAATTTTTCCATGCACAGGGGCAGAGACGGGGATGGTTTCGGGATGATTCAAGCGCATTATGTTTATTGCGCACTTAATTTTTATTATTGTTACACTGTAATATGTAATGAAATAATTATAAAACTCACCATAATGTAGAATCAGTGGGAGCCCTGAACTTGTTTTCCTGCATCTGGGCAGCCCCACCTGGGGGTGATGGGAGCCAGTGACAGATAATCAGGCATTAAATTCTCATAGGGAGCTTGCAACCTGGATCCCTCACATGTGCAGCTCCCAATAGGGCTCACGCTTCTACGAGAATCTAATGCCGCTGCTGATCGGATTGGAGGTGGAGTTCGGCAGGTAATGTGAGTGATGGGGAGCAGCTGTAAACACAGATGAAGCTTCACTCACTGCCACTCACCTCCTGCTGTGCAGCCCAGTTCCTAACGGGCCACAGACCAGTACAGGCAAGTGGCCTGGGGTCTGGGGACCCTGACAGTCTGGGTGATACATTCAATGACCATATTTTTTCCAAACTTAACATATAAAATGTCAGGACCTTTGTTCTTCAAAGAATGCCTGTGCCATTTTAAGACATAAGAACGGGGAAAGCCTTTTATAACAAGTCCAGGTTAAGTAGTATATATAAATCTGAGGACGTGTACAGAAGTAGCATTCAGCTGGGTATGCTACACGTGTGCGATTCTGGACAAACAGTACCATTCAGTGAACCAATTATTTTGCAATCACAATACTCACTGCAAAAAAAAAAAAAAAAAATACTAAAGAACTTGTCAAAATGAATTGAAAGGAAGTGTTCACCTGGTTTCACTTTAAGGCAAGCTTAACTTCCTAAGCATCTCCTTGCCCCCATGCCCATGACTGGTCACCTAATGATGGGACAATGCCACTTGTCTCACACACCTAAGCATGACATGTATTAGAAGACTAACCTTCAATATCAATTGCTGAGCAACTCAAACACCTTAACTGCCAACTACATGAATTTTCAAGCACAGAGCATCGCCGGCGCGGTGGCTCATGCCTGTAATCCCAGCACTTTGGGAGGCTGAGGCGGGTGGATCACTAGGTCAAGAGATCGAGACCATCCTGATCAACATGGTGAAACCCCGTCTCTACTAAAAATACAAAACATTAGCTGGGCATGGTGGCGCGTGCCTGTAATCCCAGCTACTCAGGAGGCTGAGGCAGGAGAATTGCCTGAACCCAGAAGGCGGAGGTTGCGGTGAGCCGAGATCATGCCATTGCACTCCAGCCTGGGTAACAAGATTGAAAAACCCCCTCAAAAAAAAAAAAAAAAAAAAAGAATACATAATCAAGCACAAAGCATCATGACCCACTTATTCCCTCTGCTTTTAAACAAAAGAACAACTCAGAAGAAAATGCTAGCAAAAAGGCAAAAATAAACAAGAAATAAAAGAAAAAGATTAAAGTCATCTTGTAAATGGCTACTCAGCTTTAAGACATCCTAGCTTTTTCAGCCAATAATGGACTCTTAAAGAACACAATATTCAGAAAAGGTACAGACTATGTAACAAAAGATCACCCCAAATTCCACTACCCTTTATAATACCTTTGTTTTGATGCCCTTCTGAAATAAAAGAATTTGAAATCAGTTGAAAGAAAAAGAAGATGAGGTTAATGCGTCACCTTAAAAAGAGACAGGGTCTCGCTCTATTGCCCAGGCTGGAGTGCAGTGGTGCAATCACAGCTCACTGCAGCCTTGACCTCCCAGGCTCAAGCAATTCTCCACCTCAGCCTCCTGAGTAGCTGGGACTACAGGCATGCACCACCATGACCAGTTATTTTTTGTAGAGATAGGGTTTCACCACGTTTCCCAGGCTGGTCTAAAACGTCTCGGCTCAAACAATCCACCCGTCTTGGCCTCTCAAAGTGCTGAGAGTACAGGTGTGAGCCACCATAGTCAGCCAGTTCTTTACTTTTTTGAAAGTTCATTTTTGATTAGTATTATATCAGGCTATGTAAGAAATCTAGTATAATAAAAGTGCTTAAGAGCAGGTTACCCAAATACTTACGCATGAGCAAACAGCACTACTCACAAGAGTCAAAGGTGGAAATAACCCACATGTCCATCAACAGGTAAGTGACAAACAAAATATGGTATATATACATGATGGAATATTATTCAGTCATAAGAGGGAGTGAAATATGGAGACATATTACATCATCAATAGGCCTCAAAATCATTAAGTAAAAGAAGCCAGACATGAGTCACACACTGTATGCTTCCACTTGTATGAACTATCCAGAGTCAGTAAATCCATAGAAACAAAAAGCAAACTGGTGGTTGCTAAAGGCTGGAAGTGGGAGAGAATGGACTGTGACTGATTAACATATAAAGGCTTTCTTTTGGGGTGATAAAAACATTTTAGAATTTGACATAAAAGGTGGATGCAGGCCAGAGCGGTGGCTCAAGCCTGTAATTTCAGCACTTTGGGAGGCCGAGGCGGGTGGATCACCTGAGGTCAGGAGTTCAAGACCAGCCTGGCCAACATGGTGAAACCCTGTCTCTACTAAAAATACAAAAATTAGCTGGGCATGGTGGCGGGCGCCTGTAGTCTCAGCTACTTGGGAGGCTGAGGCAGGAAAATCGCTTGAACTCAGGAGGCAGAAGTTGCAGTGAGCCGAGATTGCACCATTGCACTCCAGCCTGGGTAAGAGAGCGAGACTCCATCTCAAAAAAAAAAGGTGGATGCACAACACTATGAATGATGAATGTTCTAAATGCAACTGAACTGTACCCTTTACAATGGTTAATTGCATGTTATATGAATTTGATATCAACTGAAACACTTATGAGAGAAAATTTAAAGTTCATGGGAATATTTCATAATATATGAATGTGATTATGTATATAATTAGAGGGAGGGTACAAAAGCTAATAGAGAATAAAGCATTTTAAGAGAGCCCAACTCCAGCAAATACACAGGAAAACTCGTCAGTTGGTAGTACCATTCTTCCTGGGTGGAGGTGGCCCTGCACTTTCTTACCCACAGACAGGAGGCGCCAGGAGACGGCAGGAGTGGCAAAGCAGGCAAACACATCATCGGTGCAGGAGAGGTGGGTGAGGTGTGGCAGGATCACAGACTGGCCCCGGCACTGGCCCCACATGTACACATGCCCACCCTGCGTCTTGGCCGCAGACGTGTGGGCAGAGTGACAGGCTGCAATCTCTACCACCCTGAAAAGTTTTCAGAAAAACGCATGTCACTGCATGATCACAGAAGCCCACAGCACACCACACAAGGCAACTAAAACATTCATGCTTGGAACACTTCAGAAAACAACAGTCCAAGATCCAGGGATGCTAGCTGCCAAGTCACAGCAACAAAAGCAAAAGATCAGGGCAAGAGCACTGTTCCCCTTTCCCAACTGCCCATTTCTCATCCTCAGCTCACTGTGAGTTAGGATAGACCACAAACTGCCAAGGAAAACTTGGAAAACAGACTAGAGACCCAAGCAAATGAAGAAAGTGGACACTGACAAAATGTCCTAACAAACGTGTTGGTTTAAACACCATTTCTTTTCTTTCAGACAGGATCTCCCTCCGTCACCCAGGATTGAATGCAGTGGCATGACTATAACTCACTGTAGCCTTGACCTTCCAGGCTCAAGCAATCCTCCCACCTCAGCTTCCTGGACCATAGCTGTGCCATCACACCTAGCTAATTTTTGTATTTCTTATGGAGATGGGGTCTGGCTACGTTGCCAGGGCTGGTCTCCAACTCCTGGGCTCAAGTGTACCTCCTGCCTTCGCCTCCCGAAGTGCTGGGGATTATAGGTGTGAGTCACCATGCTTGGCCCATTTCTTTATAAATATAACTTTCTCTGTCCTCTCCTACCAGAGCTCAGAACACTCACTGGGCTAAGCATTGGCTGAGGGGTCACGGACTCTGAACGTTCCAATCCAAAAGGACAACAAGCTAAACTTACTGTATTTCTCAGTAGCATGCTTCTTGGGTAACATCCCATAATCAGAAGTCAGCATGCCAGGACATAGTAGGTAAGACCATACAATTTGGCTGAACAACATCAAGCATCTATTCCAGTAACACATACTATATCAAATCAATATTTAAACAGATAATGTCCTTTCAAGAGCAGATGTATTTAAAAGTTGTTTTACTTGGGTCAAAGGAAAAGTTTATGCTACACCATAAACATCAATATGGCCATAGACCCTATCTATCTTCCATACTAAAAGGCCAGCAGCAATGCTGCAGTAATTGTACCAAGATACGTTCATGCCTATCAATCACAGGTGGTTATTTCAGAAAGCTACATAAGAATCATATCAACTTCATGTTCATTCTGGCTGCTACTCAAAAAACTTATGTATAGGCCAGGCACAATGGCTCCTGCCTGTAATCCCAGCACTTTGGGAAGCCAAGGGGGGTGGATCACCTAAAGCCAGGAGTTCCAGACCAGCCTGGTTGACATGGTGAAACCCCATCTCTACTAAAAATACAAAAAATTAGCTGGGGATGGTGGTGCACCTGTAATCCCAGCTACTTGGGAGGCTGAGGCAGGAGAATCACTTGAACCCAGGAGGCAGAGCTTGCAGTAAACTGAGATCGTGCCACTGCACTCCAGCCTGGGTGACAGGGTGAGACCCTGTCTCAAAAAAGGGAAGAGAAGGGGGAAGGGGGGAGGGGAAAGAAGGAAGGTGGAAAAGGACTGGAGGAAGGGTGAAGGGGGAAGGGAAGGGAACCTCTTTTGTCCAAAATGAGAATGTTAATAAACAGAAGAATTACAAAGCCAAACACCACAGCTCTGCCACACGGTCCCAAGGCCACATCTCACATACAGTCCCAAGACACGGCACAGCCAAGTTACCTTTCTTTCTCCACCATGATGTGTGCTGGGCTTAGCAGGTTATTTTTATTGCCAGTTCCCAGCTGCCCATATGTGTTAGCTCCCCAGGCATAGAGCAAGCCCTCATCTGTTAGTGCTAGAGTATGTGCGTAGCCGCAGACAATCTGCAAGTAAATTTAAATGGTTACCATTAGCAAGAAAACAGGAAGGGCAGGGAGAACATCTACTTAAAGGCTATAGTCAGCTTCTGCAGAATGCCAATTCATCATCAGGGGTAGACTGACATTTGCTGGAACATTAAAAAAGCATTAGAGAAGCCTAAACCTTAGGCTACTGAAGTTTTCCTTTTTTTTTTTTTTTGTTAACTTGTCGAGACTGTTTTGCCAATACCACAGTCTTGCTTCTCCTCATGGGAATTTAGGGAAGATATAATATTACATGTGGAAGATAAAGGCACAGAGAAATATTGCCGCAAAAGACTGACTGAAGAGTAAACCTCCAATATTTCTCCAAGTTAGGGCGGGGAAGATAGACAGGAAGTGCTAGCTGAGAGGGCACCGCACATACCTGGTTCACACACACACTGTGCAAAGCTGCCACTCTCACAGGGGTCAGCTGGTTGCCATTGTTTCCCAAGCCCAGCTGACCATTGCCATTGTAACCCCAGCCATATACCTTAGAGAGGAGAGAAGGGAGAGAATGAGTTTTTTTAAACTGCTGGTAAGAAAGAAGAGACAAAAAAACCAGTCCATCTAAACACATCAGATATTTCCAACACCTGTATTCTACTCTATGCTCCTGCCACTGATCTTCAAACAGAAGCTATTTTGGAGATGGAGATGACAGAATTGGGCATTGGTTTCTACTCCATGACTTAGATAGTCTGGGGCAAGTCACTCTTTCCTGTTTTATACATGAGGAAGTTGAGCCTCACTAACAATTATTAAGCACCTACCATATGTCAGAACACCCTGAAAGGTACTAAGAATAAGTTTTTGGTCACAGTTTAACAGGGGAAATAGATACATGCAAATTTTCTGCAGACAGGTAGCAAGTGCTACAAGACATATAATCAAGGCACTGCAGAACAGCAAGGAGGAAGGCTTTAGCTCTAGGAAGAAAGATTAAGGAAGACTTTTCAGAAAGTGGAGATCGGAGCAGGGCTGAAGAATGAAGGACAGCAAAGATTCCAGGCAAAAGGCACTGACTACATTAGAAGCTAGTTTAGAAGGTAAGTAGGTGAGCCTGGCTAGACACATCTGCAGTAGTGGTAGTATAAAGAATAGTGGAAGGCCAAGTGAGGTGGCTCACGCCTACAGATTACAATCCCAGTACTTTGGGAAGCCAGAGTGGGAGGACCATGAGGTCAGGAGATGGAGATCATCCTGCCCAACATGGTGAAACCCTGTCTCTACCAAAAACACAAAAATGAGCCAGGCATGGTGGCACGTGCCTGTTATGCCAGCTACTCGGGAGGCTGAGGCAGGAGAATCACTTGAACCAGGGAGTTGGAGGTTACAGTGAGCCAAGATCGCGCCACCACACGTCAGCCTGGAAACAAAGCAAGACTCCAACTCAAAAAAAAAAAAAAAAAACAAAGTCTAGAAGGAAAGGCAAGGGCCCAGAGGGACAGTGACAAACAACATACCAGAGAAACTGCAATGCATCTGTAAATTTCTCACTGAAATATTAATTTAATTTGCATTTTTGAAAGATAATGTTGGCCACAGTATAAAAAGATGACAGAACATATAAGGCTAGAGGCAGGGAGAACCTTTAAGAGGTCATTTCGGGCCGGGCGTGGTGGCTCAAGCCTGTAATCCCAGCACTTTGGGAGGCCAAGGCGGGTAGATCACGAGGTCAAGAGATCGAGACCATCCTAGTTAACACGGTGAAACCCCGTCTCTACTAAAAATACAAAACATTAGCTGGGCATGGTGGTGTGTGCCTGTAATCCCAGCTACTCAGGAGGCTGAGGCAGGAGAATTGCCTGAACCCAGGAGGTGGAGGTTGCGGTGAGCCGAGATGGCACCATTGCACTCCAGCCTGGGTAACAAGAGCGAAACTCCGTCCCCCCCAAAAAAAAAAAAAAAGAGGTCATTTCTTCTCTCGTGAGCAAAGAGGTGAGCTCTGATGAGGCTCCAAACTAAGGAGTGACAGCGGGATCAAGAGAGAGAAAGAAGAGGAAAGAGGATTACACAGACGACTTCCCAGAATGTGATGGTCCCTTGGATATCTGGAGTGAGAGGAGACCTGTCTGCTGAAAGTAACAGGGTTGGGCATAGGTTTGACAGGAGTGCTAAAGGTTCCAAATAGCCATAGGAAAACGTACTGATCAGGAACAGACAAATAAAGGCCTTGTTCAAATTACAAACCCAAGATTTGTGGTGGCATCAAGCCCCACAGCAATGCAGGGTGGCAGATGTAGACTATGGCTTTTCAGGGTTACAGGATGTAAGGGAAAGGGGGAATGGAATTTAGGGGCCTGGAGAGAGATGGTTAAAGGCACTTTCACCCAGTGCCAGAAGTGTAACAGACATGAACTTTCTGGAGAGAAATTTGGCAATGGCTATCAATATTTTAAATGGCATACCTCTTGACCCAGAAATTCTTTGGGAATTTATTCTATAGAAACACTTGTATAAGTGTACAAAGATACACACATAGAGAGTAACACAGAAAATCACTGCAACTGTTTATGACGGGAAAAAATTAGAAAACTGACATGTTCATCAGTAGAGCTCTGGATGTGGGTCGTCTGCAGAAGCCAGAATTAGCAGCCATAATGATGGAAAGCTGCATAAATGGTCTGATCATAGACACAGATAAACACAGGCTGCTAAACGGAGGAGTGGGAAGCAGGTTGAAGAAAAGCAGAGAAAAGCTACGGTAGGTATCATCATCCCATATTAAAAAAAAAAAAAAAAGATAATTATACTCACCTATATATAATTGTTTAAGAGAATAGTCAAAAAAGACATGCATGAAACTATTAAGACCAGGAAATGGTATTTAGTTTTTATTTTATCTGTTTCACTTGTCTTCCTTTACTTTGTTAAAATAACCACATAATAATAACCTAAAAATTAAACTTTTTTTTTTGAGACAGAATCTCACTGTCACCCAGGCTGGAGTGCAATGGCATGGTCTCAGCTCAGTGCAACCTCTGCCTCCCAGGTTCAAGCAATTCTCCTGCCTCGGCCTCCCAAGTAGCTGGGACTACAGGCACCCACCATATCTGGTTAACTTTTGTGTTTTTTTGTAGAGATGGGATTTCACAATGTTGGCCAGGCTGGTCTCAAACTCCTGACCTCATGATCTGCCCACCTTGGACTCCCAAAGTGCCCGGCGTAGTGCCCGGCGTAACTTATTTTTAAAAATAAGAGAAGAACACTAGAATGGAGGATATTCAATGGCCATCTCAAGGAATTCTGAAGTCATCTGCATGATATTGAGATTGAGTTTTTCAAAAATAAGTTAATGTAAGTTAAAGTCTGTGCACAAACTCTAAAGCACCATAGCATAGGTAGGTGTCCTTAATCCCCAGGTCGTGAGCCACAGACCAGTACCAGTCTGTGCCCTGTTAGGAACTGGGCTGCACAGCAGAAGGTGAGTGGTGGGCGAGGAAGTATTACCACGTGAGCTCCGCCTCCTGTCAGATTAATGGCAGCATTAGATTCTCATAGGAGCACGAACCCCATTGTGAACTGTGCAACAAGGCATCTAGGCTGTACACTCCATATGACAATCTAACTAATGCCTGATGATCTGAGGTAGAACAGTTTCATCACAAAAGCATGGCCCCAACACCACCACCCATGGAAAAATTGTCTTCCATGAAACCAGTCTCTGGTGTCAAAAAGGTTGGGGACCACTGCCCAAAAAGCACACCAATGCATGATGCCAAAACACCTGTGTCCAAGGTAATATCTTTGTATAATTTTCATGCACTAAAATATGCATAGGTAGTAAATGGCCCTTTAAGTGCAAGTTGCAACCAGAGATTAATTTCATAGAAATAACTATCAGCTCAAAGTGACCACAGTAGGGATAACTAAAGGGAGAGTTCTTAAAAGTAGCTAATAACAGTCAGGAAACCCCAAAAATCTGCTTTTCCAAGTTGCTTCCTCCTGTGAACATTCAAGATATAGGTAGGTAGTTCTACAAGGATTTCATCAGCTAATTTTAAAATGCACAGTTGACTTTTTCAATGGAAGAGAAAGATAGGATTAAATTCTTTAATCTACTATATTAAATATCACACACAAATACCTACAGGCATTAGGCTATTTGGATCTTGCAAAAAAATACAATTTAGACAGAGACAATCTTTATTCACAGGTAAATCTTGGAATTTAGAAAAATCATACTGAGGAGCAAACAACCTCCAGCTTCTCAGTCAGTAATAAATGGTCTGATCAGTTAACTTCCAACAGAGCTACCAAAACAAAGCACTCTTCCTTCTTCAATTTGATACATGCACCTTGTGAATAAACTGACATTTAATTGAAAAAGGAGGTAGAAAGGGACACGGGAGTGGAGAACACCTCACCTCGCCATTGTCCAGAACAGCCATGGATGAAGTCTGACCACAGGCAATGCCAACTACCCTTTTAATATGTAAACAGTTCGTAACTTTTCGAGGAGTTGGTTGATTTGCTGTAGAACCTGATCCCACCTGGCCACAGTTGTTATAACCCCAAGCAAATACCTATAAGAGAAAGAAAAAGGAAAGAACAGTCAGGGTGAAAGAAAATTTCACCCCAACACAAATAGTCATAAAAATTAAAATCAGCCTACTTAATGAGTACTTAAGATGTGCTAAATGGTTCTGTATGCTTTACACACATTAACCTACTTACCCTACCTAGTAATCCTGCAAAGTGACCCTAGGATAGGTAGTACCCACTTTATACATCCCCATTTTATACATGGAAACTGAAACACAAGAGAGGTTAAGTAACTTGCTTGAGGTTCCAAAGCTGGTAGGTAGTGCAAAGAGAATTTAACCCCAAGCACTCTGGCTGTGCTCTTAACCACCATGCTATATTCCCTCTATAACACACATACTAATGTGGCATCAACAGGAAATGTGGGATATGCCACATAAGTATCAATGATGTAAAAAATTTGCTCAACTCTTTCGGCACAAATATTCATTGTTTTCCATGGAAATCATTCTAAACAAGAGTATAAACAGAAATGAATTAGGGAGGGAGGTGTTGGCAGTAGAGGAAATAATTTCCTCAAACACTAGGAAAATGTCTAAGCCCCCACTCCCTACTCTGCTTCACGTGCCTGCAGGAGGTGGTCCACATATATACTGACTGTGGCTTCCACAATTCTTTCTTTCCTTGTATGATGCTGGCCAAGGCAAAGCCCTCTGCTGAATATGTGTTACAGGTTCATCTTATAGGTACAAAACAAATAACCTGCAACACCTCCTCAAAGTATATTCACATCAATGTCTAGTTTAATTATGCAAATATTAATATTTAGCATAATTATTCAAAGTACCATATGCTTAAGATTAAAATAAAGCAGGAACCCAGCCTGCACAAATTAGCAAGTTTGATCTAATTTCAGCAATCATTCTGGCACTTCTCAAATACAGCACATTCCCTTGCAGTGCTGCTGCCTTTTGTTTAAAAACTGGAGCTGTAGTTCCACTAACCAAGAAATGGACTAGGAAACAGGAGATCTAAGGCATGAGGCCTGTGTGCTATGCGTGGCTCCAGCACATCCCAGTCATGAAATATTGAGCTTTTGAGTTTGTTCATTCTATAACTTGTGCTACTTAATAAAATCTCTGTAACATCACTGAGGAACTTCAAAGACAGAAACATACGATCTCATTTGTGTTTTAGGAATCAGAGGGGACAGCAAAGCAAGACTGGGCAGATGGGTCAACTTGAAGGTTATGGAATAGAAGGGACTATGGCAGTAGTCCGGGCGGGAAACGACAAGACTTGACCAAAGGCAATGGAAATGGAGAGGAACAAAATGATATCAAAGATTAGAAGACAGAATCAATGGGATGAGTGATCTTTAAGATGAGCACAAACTTAGGGGCTGAACAAGTGGTACAGTACCTACTAGAAGGATGGTAAAGTTATTTTTTCCAAGCTCATTACATATACTGAAAAATAAAACAGACCTTAAGGATGGGGTCACTAAAAAACAAAGTATAGAACATTGTCACACATCTGAGTTATAGTCTCAGCAAAGAACATGGGACTCAGCTGCATTAAGGATGAACTCTAGGCTGGATGCAGAAGCTCACACCTGTAATCCCAGCATTTTGGAAGGCCGAGACAGGAGGAACACTTGAGCCCAGGATTTCAAGACCAGCCTGGGCAACATAGCCAGGCTCTTGTCTCTACAAAAAAAAATTTTTTTTAAGAAAAGAAATCTACTGCCATCAAAAGTGCAGTCTTGATTACACAATACACATTATGCTAGAGAGGGAGTATATTCCCATAAGGTTTTTAGCTACATGCACAGGGCTACAATTCACATCACATCAAGTACAAATATGGTCATTAAAACCAGGGGGCTTTCACCACAGCCTAAAGGGGAAACAATCCAAGCGTCCATGAACAGATGACTAGACAAACAAAATGTGGTTTACAGCAGGTCCTTGAAAAATATCATTTCATTCAACATCATTTTATTATAACACTGATGAGAAAAAATGTCAATTCCCGGCCAGGGCCACTGTCTGTGGAGTTTGCATGTCCCATGTCTGTGTGGGTTTTCTCTGCGTGCTCTGATTTACTCCCACACCCCAAAGCTGTGCACACTAGGTGGTGTCTAAGCTGCATATATATCTCAATGGTTCCAGTGAGAGTGAGTATGGGGGTATACATGAGTGTGCCCTGTGTTCTTTCTGTCCAGGGCTGCCTCCCACCTGGTGTCCTGAGCTGCCAGAGAAGCTGTGGCCACCCGCAACCCTGAACTGGAACAAATGAGTTTGAAAATGAATGAATGAATGAATGAATGAAAAAATGAATGAATACAACTTGTTAAAAAATAAAAGTTCACCTGTAATCCCAGCACTTTGGGAGGCCGAGGCGGGGGGATCACCAGGTCAGGAGACCAGCCTGACCAACATGGTGAAACCCCATCTGTACCAAAAATTACAAAAAAAATTAGCCAGGCATGGTGGCGTGCACCTGTAATACCAGCTACTCAGGAGGCTGAGGCAGGAGAATTGCTTTAACCCAGGAGTCGGAGGTTGCAGTGAGCTGAGATCACACCATTGCACTCCAGCCTGGGCAACAGAGCGAGACCCCATCTTAAAAAAAAAAAAAAAAAAACTCACAAAGTAGGTTGGCCATGGTGACTTATGCCTATAATCTCAGCATTTTGGGAGGCCAAAGTGGGAGGATCACCTGAGGTCAGCAGTTTAAGACCAGTCTGGCCAACATGGCGAAACCCCATCACTACTAAAAATACACAAAAATTAGCCGGGTGTAGTGGCAGGTGCCTGTAATCCCAGCTACTCGGGAGGTTGAGACAGAATCACTTGTACTTGGGAGGTGGAGGTTGCAGTGAGCCGAGATCATGCCATTGCACTCCAGCCTGGGCAAGATGAGCAAAATTCTGACTCAAAAAAAAAAAAAGTTTTTCCCAAGTAGACAATAACCATACAAATGCATAACAATAAATGATGCAGTCAGAAACCTTCAGCAAACTGCACATTTGCGATTGTTTGCTTTTGAACTGCGTGGTGGTAGGAGGTGCTCCTTGTAATTTCTGCTTTGCAAACATTTATTCCTTGACTTAACCCACCACCACTATGATCGCCCCACTCAGTCACTCACCAGAAATTGGGCAAATAATTCACTTACTTGCTTTTGTTAATCTTTCTTAAATATATGTAAACTTCACATTTATTTCAATGTTTAACATAAGAGGTGGTTTGGGTCTTCAGAAGTTTGGTGATATCTTTGTGACCAGAAATACACCACAGGAACTTAACTCTTGTTTACGTCAATTAGCCAATGGTGAAACTGGTTTCATTACATGTCCTTTTGCTTAAAGTTGTAGTTTCCAAGAATCTACCAATGACATTATGTGGGTACTTACTGTATGTATCCAATGTAATATTATTCAGCCCTAAAAAGGAATGAAGAGAATCCTATCACATGGTACAAAGTAGATGAACCTTGAGATATTATGCTAAGTGAGATAAGCCAGTCACAAAAGGACAAACACTGTATGATTCCACTTATATGAGGTATGTAGAATAATCAAACTCAGAGACAGAAAGTAGAAAGTTGTTGCCAGGGGCAGGAGAGGACAGAATGAGGGTGAATGTTTAATAGGTATAGTGTTTTAAGTTTTGCAGGATGAAACAGACGTGTGGGTACATGGTGGTGACAGTTGTACAATAAGGTGAACGTACTTAACACCACTGAACTATACATTTAAAAATGGTGAAGCTAGTAAATTTTATGTTACATGTATTTTACCACCATTTAAAATAAAAAAGAATAAAGAATAAAAGTAGCATACTGACCTCTCCATCAGCTGCTAGAGCCATTGAATGATGTGAGCCACAAGCCACTTCCACCACTTGCTTGATCAAGAGATTGGTACAGACTTGGATGGGAGCAACGCCTTGATTTGTTGTCCCATTCCCAAGCTGGCTATAACCATTGTGGCCCCAGGCATAAACCACTCCATCTGTACACATGAAGCACACAAAGAATCAGCTCCAAAAAGAGAGTAACCCTGTACTTTCTTCCCCAGAACTTTGTACAGCTTATTCTCCAACCTTCATTTCTCTCCCACTGGCCCCTCCTCTGTTGTGTTAAATAACCACAGATGGGGCAAGGGAGAGAGATATGGGTAACAGAACAGGATAGACGATGCAAAATCTTTAAAGAAAGGACTTGGTAATAACATAGATCACCTATGTGATCAAAAGTCAAAGTTTATGTATACAAAAATTAGGCTTTCTAAAAACTCTGATCCATCTCAGTAGTTTCTGTGTCAGATATCGAGCAAAAGGCAGATGACAAGAAAGCTCAATGTTAATGTTTACCATCGCTTAATCAAATACCAAGTCACAGGAACCCGTACAGCGTGTGTGGCTATTCGCTCACCAAGTAAAGGGGAAAGAAACTATTTGCAAGGGAGACAAAAGTCCCAGAGCTTCTTTTAAGCAGACTATTTTAGTGGCATGAAATCTGGCTGTTTTTTTTTTTTTTTAACATAAAGCAACCATTTTTTTATGCTCATTTATTCTGTGTCAGGAATTCGGACAAGGGACAATGAAGATGGCTTGTCTTTGCTTCATGGTGTGTGTGATGGAAGATTCAAAGGCTGGGGATAACTTAGGGGTGGGGGACTAGCATCACCTGGAGGCATCAACACTGACACTGCTGTGACCATTGTTGGAAAGCATAATGAGCTTATTCTACAGGATACAACTCAGGAACAGCCAAATGGAGGAGACACACAGGGCAAGGTATGTGGGGTTGAGGGGTGCACAGAGCCCCCATGCCCTCTCTGGCATGCCACCTTCCCAGCACCTTGATGTGACTGCCAACCCAGAAGCTTCTCTGAATTTTTTTTTATAATGATTTTATCTTTTCTAGGATTCCAATGGAGACAACTTTTCTTATGTTATCTCTAGAAGCACCATCGTTTCAGGCATTTCTTCCCACAGCACGCCTGAGTGCCAAGGGCAGTGCTTCCAGAGTTATGCATTCTCCTCTTGTCTTTCCCATGGTAATAAAACATCCTGACCTATTAAGGGCAATCTGCCTGGCAACAACACTCTAGGGCGACAGCAGAAATCCAAGTGTTGTGGTTAAACTGAAGGTCACTCACAGTAGTCCACAGGCAACCAGGGGAAAGAGACTTCTATTTATCTACTCTAGAACGAAGACAGCCCACACAAATTCAGAGTCCTCTTCCAGGTACAAGACTAGAGAGCCTGACACGTGGCTCACGAGAGGCATTCCCTTCTACGGAAATTATGACAGAAACCATCAATGGGAAATTTCATCCTGAGAAAGATGAGGCTTAAGACCGAAAGAAAGAGTATAAAACACAAAAAATATGATCCATCATATTATGCTAAACTTACAGCAGGTGAAAGAAATGTTCAAACTAATGAGTGCTTTAATACCTGAAAACAGAAAAATAGACTTAAATAGAGAAATGCATATCTTGTTCTTGAACAGAAAAATTCAATATCATAAAGATTCTAGTTTTTCCTACATAAATTTATGAAGTTTAAATAGCAATAAAAGCTTCAAATTACTTTCCGGAGGTAGGCAAGCTGATTAGAAAGTTTAATGAGAAGAATAAAAAAAACAAGAATAAACAGGAAAAACCTACAAAAAAAAAAAAAGTTGCTAATTCTATCAGTTATTAAAACCTATAACAAATTTCTATGAGGTTGGGCACGTGATGTTTCACACCTATAATCCCAGTACTTTGGGAGGCCAAGGCAGGTGAATTGCTTGAGGTCAGGAGTTCAAGACCAGACTGGCCAACATAGTAAAACCCCATCTATACTTAAAAAAAAAAAAAAAAAAAAAAAAAAAAAAAATTAGGCCGGGTGTGGTGACTCATGCCCATAATCCCTGTACTTTGGGAGGCTGGGGTAGGCAGATCACAAGGTCAGGAGTTTGAGACCAGCCTGGCCAATATGGTGAAACTCCATCTCTACTCAAGATACAAAAATTAGCTGGGCCTGATGGCAGGCACCTATAGTCCCACCTACTCAGGAGACTGAGGCAGGAGACTCACTTGAACCTGGGAGGCGGAGGTTGCAGTGAGCCCCAAGATCACGCCACTGCACTCCAGCCTGGGTAACAGAGTGAGATTCTGTCTCAAAAAATAATAATGCAAGAATCAGCCAGGCATGGTGGTGTGCACATGTAATCCCAGCTACTCAGGAGGCTGAGGCACAAGAATTGCTTGAACCCAGGAGGCAGAAGTTGCAGTAAGCTGGGATCATGCCTCTGCACTTCAGCCTGGGAAAAAGAGCAAGACTCTGTCTCAAAAAAATTTAAAAATAACCTGTAATTCTAAATAATCTCAGAGTGAAGATACTGAGTTCATGAAACAATAGCAACAAGTTCTGGAAAGGAACATTTAAAGAACAATAAAGAACACTTGGAAATAAAACAATGGAAATGTTAAATATATGACATAAGAGCTGTAAGATAAAATTGAAGAAATTTAAATTGAAGAAATTTCCCAGAACATAGATGGGAGAGAACATTTTTTAAAAATCAGGAAGATCAGGCCAGGCACAGTGGCTCACACCTGTAATCCAAGCACTTTGGGAGGCTGAGATGGGAGAACTGCTTGAGCCCAGGAGGTTAAGGTGTGATCCACCTGCTCACACAATGAGGCTACAGTGACCCAAGACTGCACCACCACACTCCAGCCTGGATGGCACAGAGAGACCCTGTCTCTATAAAAAAAAAAAAAAATTAGGAAGGAAAAAAATTAGGAAGGTCACTCCAAAATCTCTAACTTCTAAGAAAAAAATCCATAAAGGAGAAAACAAAGAAGAAAATTTGTGTTTTTTAGAGATGGGGTCTCACTGTGTCACCCAGGCTGGAGTACAATGGGGCAATCACAGCTCACTGCAACCTTGAACTCCTAGGCTCGAGTGATCCTCCTGCCTCAGCCTCCTGAGTAGCTGGGACTACAGGTGCACGCCACCATGCCCAGCTTTTTTTGTTTTTGTTTTTAAAAAGAGATATGGCCTCACTATGTTGACCAGGCTGGTCTTGAACTACTGGCTTGGAGCAAATGTCCTGCCTCATCCTCCCAAAGTGCTGGGATTCTAGGCATGGGCCACCACACACAGCCAACAAGAGAAATTATCCATGAAATATTACAAGAAAATTTTCTAGAAATAAATATCCAGAAGTGACCAACACAATGAATTAAAAATTACACCAGAGTATAGAATCATGATTATGTCACAATACTTTACAAAAAAAAATCCTTGAAGCTTCCAAAGAGGAAAAAAGAGTCACATACAAAATAGCAAAAGTTGCCGGCATGGTGACTTACACCTGTAATCCCAACACTTTGAGAGGCTGAGGTGGGTGGATCACACCTGAGGCCAGGAACATGCTTAAAACCCGTCTCTACTAAAAATATAAAAACCAGTCAGGCATGGTGGCATATGTCTCTAATTGTACTCGGGAGGCTGAGGCCCAAGAATTGCTCGAATCCAGGAAGTGGAGGTTGCAGTGAGCCAAGATCGTGCCATTGCACTCCAGCCTGAGTGATAGAGCTAGATTCTGTCTCAAAAGAAAAAAAAAAGAAGGAAGAAAGAACTAGTGTGATGCCAGAAGGCATGATTACACAAGGCAAAAGTGAGATGATCACCTCATTATGCTCAACTCCAGTTATATTCATACCAGATGATGATGCTCAGATTTGGATTTCACAGCTCTCTTCAGAAACATGCAGAGAACTTGGAGTAGATTCAGTTAGGAGCTACAGACAATTAGAAAGCTAGATACTAAGACCTATGACAGCAACCTATGAAGCTGTGATTCCTCAGTCTAGACAAAGAAAGGCAGGGATGCAAATCGTCTCCCAAATGCCACCTAGACAATTATCTAACAAAAAGCTAAGGACTTTGGAAAAAGAGAGCAACAGTTAATGTGTCTAAAGTATAAAAGGAAGCATTTAGGTTACAGATAATGAACTTTCAGAGTGCTGGGTGCCCACAGTACAGATAAATCACACACATATACAAAATGTCTACTCTCCTTTAGTGATCTTGAAGAAGCAAAGAATAAAGGACAAGAACATATCAACCTGCATCCCCGGTTCTTTCAATATAGCAGCTACATGAATGCCAGAGAATAGACTAAGATTTCCCGATTCAAGACGCAAGAACTACACAAAGAAAGGAAAGCATCTGTGTTTAGAAAAACCTATCAAAGGAACCCTGAAAGTTACCTTGCAACCACAAATCCACTGAAAAATTAGGCTGGAAGGACCAGTTCATTTGCTATATCTAATCTTGCACAGCTTTATGGAAGCAGTTGAAAACCTCACAAGTTTGCCTCATTTGCAAGACGTTCCAGAGTTAGCCTGAAATGTTTAACTTTTACCTGCTTTATGTACTTCTCCTCAGAAATTAAGAAACAAACAATCCAAAATTAGTTATTTGGTATAGCCCTATCTCCCCTGCACTTAGAATTAACCGCTCAATTTCTTACAAACTGAAAAGTTAGATGGGTTCCCGCCTTACCTTCGGTGCTGAGAAGAACATGTGGTCCACTCCCGTAACTGAGGCTTTTAATCTTCTTTCCACATAAGCCTTCCAGCTTTTTGGGTACAAGTGTACTCTGGTTATCTCCAGTTCCTAGACAGTTACTATAGTTCAGTCCAAATACAAAGACCTAGAAAACAGATGGCTTTTTCTGAGTCTTTTGGCTAAAAGCTGTATTAAAAACTCCCTTCCCTGCTCTGAAAATAAGACATTTCAAGTTCAACTAGAGAGCTCAGGAGGTGAAAAAGACACTGATATGGCTGTTAAGAAAAATTCAACCTCTGCTGACATAGAATGTTTGTCTATATTATGAAACTCAGAGTGGTATGGAGTAGAGGGATATTAAGTCAAGAAACTAAAAAAAGAGAAACTGTTAAAGCAATAGTCTTCCTGAACTTCAGGATCTCTTTATTTATCCCCTGCCTTTTCTCCATCTTTGAACTGCACACTTTGAATACCAATCCCCAAATAAGCTCTAAAACTAAACTCTAGGTTTTAAGAGACTCTTACCTCATCATTGTCAGTAACGTACAGTGCTTCATTGGCTGAGGTGCCGAAGACGCATGCCTTCCGAATAGAAGCAATCTCTTGAGGGGAGAGCAGAGTGAAGATGGGCCACTTTCCTACATCCACCATGACTCTGGCTTCAAGCAATTCCTATAAATAAGCTGACATCTCTGCTGGAACAAACAGAAAGGATTCCAGAAAAAAATTAAATAGCCACTGAGCTAACTTTTAAGTAAAGACCTGTTAATAAATGCTAACAAAAGCTGATTCTAGAATAAATGAACTACCTTTGGTTACATGGATCACTCACTTTCCACAGCAATGCATGCAATCCTTCCTCCACCTTCAAATCTGCGCCTTTTCCTACAAGAGAACAGCGTGCGAGAACTAGCTGTCTGTCTTGCCCACTTCCTAGTCAGTGCTTATCTGTTCCACATGTGCTTCCCACTCACCCTCTTCTTAGACCTCTAAAAACAGTCAAAGCAGCAGGTCAAAACCGAGTTCTTTCTGGCTCCAGCACCTCCAATAACACACACAGAGGGTGCCTGGGGCTGAAGCATGCTTAGCCAAAGCCTCATCCCCACCCACCAGAGATATTCTTCCCACCAGGACCAACTTGGATGACAAGGCTTCAGCCCCAGGTATCATATCACAGATTCAATAAGGATTAAACACCATCAAATCAGGCTACTCACTGTCACTGCATAGCCAGACAACTCGAGTAACATTCAAATGTCTTGACAAGTGTGCGTGCAGGCGGAGGGGGAGCTACTGGTGAAGACAAGTAAAGGATTTAAGGGGGGAGTAATACATGAACATGGGAAAAAAACTTTTGTTTCAAATGGACAAAAGGGGATAAGAAAGTAAGTCTCGCTGGGCGCGGTGGCTCAAGCCTGTAATCCCAGCACTTTGGGAGGCCAAGGCAGGTAGATCACGAGGTCGAGAGATCGAGACCAACCTGGTCAACATGGTGAAACCCCGTGTCTACTAAAAATACGAAACATTAGCTGGGCATGGTGGCGCGTGCCTGTAATCCCAGCTACTCAGGAGGTTGAGGCAGGAGAATTGCCTGAACCCAGGAGGCGGAGGTTGCAGTGAGCCGAGATCGCGCCATTGCACTTCAGCTGGGGTAACAAGAGTGAAACTCCATCTCAAAAAAAAAAAAAAAGAAAGAAAGTAAGTCTCCCTACCAACCCTCCCTGACCCTCTCCTCAAAGGCCACCACTGTTCCCAGTGATCTGTAATTCCTTCTGGAGATAGTGTATACTTATGGAAGCACTACATGTATGCATGGGTGTATGTTTCTTTAAAAACAAAAGCACAAATGGAAGCTTTTTTTCCCTACTTAACAGTACATTGGGGAAATAATTCTATATAAGCACATATAGACCTGTTCCATTTATTTTCAATGCTACTGTAGCATTCCATTACATTGATTTAGCAATACACCTTGTTTTCTACTGAGAGACATTTAAGTCAATTCCAGTCTTTTGCTAGAATACTGCAATTATTGCCTGCATATTATTGTATAGACATGTCTTGTTTTATACATAAATTTCCAGAATAAATTCTTAAAACTGAAAATTGCTAGGTCAAAGTCTAATAGCTATTTTACCATTACTAGCTATTAGTATTTCAGTCTTCCAACGAAGTAGTGCCCATGTATAAAACCACCATTCATGTAGGATGGCGCCTGTTTACACACACACTTCCCACACAGTGTACTCTCATGGTATTTCACTTTTGTTGAAACTGGCATTACCCTGTGATGAGTGAGTTGGGATATCACTTAAAAAAAAATAATTAGAATATTTGGGAGGCCAAAGCGGGAGATCACGACCTCAAGAGATCAAGACCATCCTAGCCAACATGGTGAAACCTCGTCTCTACTAAAAATACAAAAATTAGCTGGCACGGTGGCGCCGGCCTGTACTCCCAGCTACCCAGGAGGCGGAGGTTGCTGTGAGCCAAGATCGCACCACTGCACTCCAGCCTGGCGACAGAGTGACACTCCATCTCAAATAATAATAATAAGAAGAAGAATTGCAACAATAACAACTAACTTACTGACCACTATCTGCCAAGCACTATTCTAAGTAATTTTATATTTATCCATTCATTTAATCCTCACTTTACCAATAAGGAAATGGAGAAAATTGTAAGAATCTGCTCAAACTCGTAAGCGGCAGAGTCGGGATGTGCACCCAGGCAACCTGAAGCCTGAGTCTGTACTCTTTACCTCTCACTCTCATTTTAAGAGCCCACTGTCAGGCTTCTGTGCAAAGTGCCTATATTTTCTACTGGATCATTGTTCTTTTTCTTGTTCTTTATGTTTAAGTATTCTTTGTATGGTAAGATGATCTTAAATGCTTTTAAAAGTTTAAAAAGGCCGGGCGCGGTGGCTCACGCATGTAATCCCAGCACTTTGGGAGGCCGAGGCGGGTGGATCACCAGGTCAAGAGATTGAGACCATCCTGGTCAACATGGTGAAACCCCGTCTCTACTAAAAATACAAAAATTAGCTGGGCATGGTGGCGTGTGCCTGTAATCCCAGCTACTCAGGAGGCTGAGGCAGGAGAATTGCCTGAACCCAGGAGGCGGAGGTTGCGGTGAGCCGAGATCGCGCCATTGCACTCCAGCCTGGGTAACAAGAGCGAAACTCCGTCTCAAAAAAAAAAAAAAAAAAAAGTTTAAAAATAAAGGCTGGGTGAAGTAGCTCACACCTGTAATCCTAGCATTTTGGGAGCCCAAACCGGAAGGATCACTTGAGCCCAGGAGTTCGAGACCAGCCTGGGCAACGTGGTAAACCCCTATCTCTACAAAAGATATGAAAAAAGGGCTGGGTGCAGGAGCTCATGCCTGTAATCCCAGTACTTTGGGAGGCTGAGGCAGGTGGATCATTTGAGGTCAAGAGTTTGTGACCAGCCTGGCCAACATGAAACCTCATCTCTACTAAAAACACACACACACAAAATTAGCCAGGTAGTAGTGACACATGCCTCTAATCCCAGCTACCAGGGAGGCTGAGGCAGGAGAATCGCTTGAGTCTGGGAGTTAGAGGTTGTGGTAAGCTAAGATCGGGCCACTGCACTCCAGTCTGGGTGACAGAGTGAGAGACCCTGTCAAAAAAAAAAAAAAAAAAAAAAAAAAGGAGGGAAGGAAGGAAAGAGGGAAAGAGGGAAAGAGGGAGGGAGGGAGGGAGGGAGGGAGATAATTAGCCAGGCACAATGGTGCACCCCTGCAGTCCCAGTTACTCAGGAGGCTGACATGAGAAAATCATTTGAGCCCAGGAAGTCAGGACTGTAGTTGAGCTGAGATCATGCCACTGCACTCTAGCCTGGGTGACAGAGTGAGACCCTGTCCCAATAAAGTAAAATAAAATAAAAATCTATATACAGAAACAAGATGCCCCTCAAATGACCTCTTGTGCCTCTTACAAAACAGATGGGGAAAGGAGTCACAAGAAGTCAAGCCCTATAAAAGCCATATAAGCAGGTAAGTAAATTTCAAGAAAATCCAGAAACAGTTTTTCCTAGAATTATGAAACATATCTAGTCTTCAAAGTTTTTAATTTTACATAATACAGAATTAGCCAAAAATATGATTCACACCTTTAAAATTACAACATAAAGGGATAAGACATTTAAAGCCACACAACTTCCTGACAGCAGCAATTATTCTAAAATCATTAAACCAACGCGGGCAACTCTGCCCTAAGGGTTTGGTAATCTACTGCAAGATCCGGCTAACCTTCATAATGATGGGGCATTATTATAGGCACTGACTTCACCCACTGCTAAATTACATGAAGCTTTATTTTACAAGGTATTTCTCCAAAGACTTGCCATTTAAGAGTCCATTTAAGAAACAGGTCATATATCTTACATGTCCACACCCATCATAAAAGAAAAAGGCATCCGCAACAGGCTTGGTATAGGGGAAACAAGACTGTGCTTTAGTCCTGGGTTTGCTTTTCATCAGTCAGTGTGACAGCCGTTTGCTGTTTTGAGACTGGGTTTCCCACAAACCTAGAAATTTGTGATTTTATGTTCAAGATATAATGAAGAAGCTGGGGGGGTTTCTTGAACGCATAAGAACAACAGGGGCAGTAATGTTGGCCAAGCAAGTATTACCCCAGCAAAACAATCAAGCAAAGCTAAGAGCAGGAAAAAAGAAAAAACTATCATGAACCTGCCTTGTCGTAGACACTGTTAATTAGGCAGCTTTCCATACATTATTTCATTTAATCTTCATAATACTCTTGTAAAGAGGAGGCTGTTAACCATTCCTGGTAGATGAGGACTGTGGCTCAAAAGTGAAATGACTTACCAAGGTCACATAGCAGACCCCTCTAATTTTTCTTATGAAGAACATCAGTCCTAGCCCTTCAATGGCTGAACTTCCTCAAATCACTTCTGACTTTATCCTGCCTCATAAATGCATAGCAGCAACTGTCTTTAAACTGTTGACAATACAAAAAGTATGCAGCCAGGCATGGTGGTTCACACCTGTAATCCCAGCACTGTGGGAGGCTAAGGCGGGCAGATCATAAGGTCAGGAGTTTGAGACCAGCCAGGCCAACATGGTGAAACCCTATCTCTACTAAAAATACAAAACAAATGAGCCAGACGTGGTGGTGGGCACCTGCAATCCCAGCTACTTGGGAGGCTAAGGCAGGAGAATAGCTTGAAACCAGAGGGCAGAGGTTGCAGTAAGCCAAGATCGCAGCACTACACTCCAGCCTGGGCAACAAGAGCGAAACTCCATCTCAAAAACAAACAAACAAACAAAATCATTCCAGGCTGAGCACAGTGGCTCATACCTATAATCCCAGCACATTGGGAGACCGAGGCAGGCAGATCACTTGAGGTCAGGAATTTGAGACCAGACTGGCCAACATGGCAAAACCGTGTCTCTGCTAAAAATACAAAATTACACCAGGTGTGGTGGCGCATGCGTGTAATCTCAGCTACTCAGGAGACTGAGGTGGGAGGATCATCTGAGCCCAGGAAGCAGAGGTTGCAGTGAGCCAAGACCGTACAACTCCACTCTAGCCTGGGCAATAGAGTATGACTCTGTCTCAAAAAATAATAATCACCATCATCACCATCAATCCAGAGGTTTGCACAATAATTTAGATGCTTCAAATTGGAAGATATGAAGTGATTCTATT